ATGTTGCCTTTGTTAAGCAATTATCCATTGCTTGTCTCTCTTATTTGAAAAGATGATGGAAGAGACTACAACCAAAAATACGTGGCCATTGTCTTTCTAAATTGGCCACCATTGCTACTAGACTACTACTACTACTATTCTTCTCAGTACTACTACTACTACTCCTGCTATGTGGTAATAACAGAATCATCCACCATATCTCCCAGATCCTGTTAGCTGCTCACAATTCTCTTTGTTGCAGCTCCAGTGCTATCATTATAAGCATCATCATTATCATCATCATAATAAACATCATTCCTCATTTGTGTAAATAGATCTTTGGTTGACATATGTCACAACAACTGCTCATTTCCCCGCCACCACCCATTTTCACTTTTAGCTTCTTTAATTCATTGGATCACAGCTGCAACATTATAAACACCAAACTGGCATTAAAATATTTTATAACTCATGCTTTGTAATTCAAAACATGAATGCAAAATAAAAATTTAAAAATTTAAAAAAAAAAAAAAAGACAAAAATAAAACCAGAAGTTTTGTTGCCAATGGAATTTTTTTTTTCCTTCAGAGCTTACTACAGTTGAAGTGTTTAGATATTGCAAAGAACACTTTACAACTTGGTTCTTCTATATATTTCCAGTTAATGTCTTGAAATTCTTCTCTTTGATTGAAGTAAATGTGCCAAGTTTCTGTTGCATGTATTTGGAATGGATACTTCCTTCTTGCTTCCCTATGTAGAGTGGCATTTCATTTTGGTCTTTTCCACCAATACCATTTTCTTAGCACTCTGGGTAGTTTAAATGGATTATGATTGGAGGCAGGTGATCTCCAAAGAAAACTTTTTGGCAGCTTCTAATAATTTTAGTTTTGTCTCTCATGCCCAGTGTGAGCAAATTTCTCGTCAAAATCAGATTTACTAATTTCCAATCCTTTACTTTGGAATATGCTAATGGCAGGGCAGAGAGAGAATCATTTAACATATGCTTTTGGTTAATGGTACTAGAATTAGGGACACACCCTTACTGACTCTTGCTTTTTGAAAACAAAATATCAAATACTGATCAGGAATTGTCTTCACCTTTTCTTTGAATGTGTTGTGTGTATCAAAGTGTATATTTTGTGATATTAAGTAAAACTCAACACATTTCCAATTTATCTCTGCCTCTCAGAACTGAAAAATAATCTTTTCTTTTTTTTTTTCTTTCACAAATCTGAAGCAGAAGCCTAATCACTTTTTATAATTTTTGCTTTCTCTCTGTCTACTTATCAACTTATTTTATTTGTCATGGATTTTTTTTTTTTTTTTTTTTTCAATTAAGAAATGAGGTAGGAAAGGGGCCTTCTCTCAAGAGAGGAAAAAAAAAGATGAAGCATAAAGTGAGTGCTTAAAAATGCTTCCCTTGTGTTTGTCCTTAGTTATTTGTTGATGGTCACTTGGTAGCCTCGTTCTCTGCTGCTTCATACTCCACCATTGGGCCTTGCACTCGGTTAATATTTCTCTTCTTCTATTGGCTGGGCAGCTTCAACAGTTTCTTCTATAGGAGGGAGTCAGATAAAAATCCTTGCAGGTTCTATAATTTACAGCTTTAATTTCCTTATATTTGTGTGGAGGAAAAGCAACTAACATCAGTGCAACAGGATTGCAGCAATTGGAAACTATTTAGATTTTTATAGACATTTATCCTCTATTCCAAATGCTGAACCCCATGTTTTTTCTTTTATCTGGTTCTCTGATGTAATAATGTCAGCTTTATTCTTTTAATCTGAAATTGATTCTCTGCTGGATATTTTTATCACAAGCTCTGACCTAATATTTTGCTTTTGGTAATGAAGCTGTCTGGTTTAAAATCTAACCAATTCTATCAGTTGCAGACTCCCAATTGAGTGACTTTGCACAAATCTGTGGGATTCATTAAAAATTTGTCACTCAAAAAGCAGTTTTTTTTTTTTGGGGTTTTTTTTGGTTTTTTTTCTTCCCCCTTCCTTCATTCAGATTATAGGAAACCTGAATTTGGAGAAACTTGCATATTTCTAAAAAAAAAAAAAAAAAAAAATTTTTTTTAACCTGCAGCTTCCTGACAATAACCTATTTCAAATTGGTACTCATTCGCTCACCTGGTCATTGTTGTTTGCATGTTGTGCACAGTGGCAAAATTTCTTGATTTCTTCACAACCAAACTTTTCTTTGTAGGTCATGTTGACCCCCCCCCCCCCACTGTTGGCGCCATTCTTTCAAAATGGACGCGACCAAACAAATTGAATTCGACCACCTTTTTGTCTGGTTCAAGTTGATAAGAAAGATTTCTTAGTGGACTCAGGAAATTGTGATAAATTCATTTGTACACAACTTTGAGGGAAGTACCCTCCCCCCACCCCCCATTGGAGCCGTAATGATGCTGCCAGTTATTCCCCCCTCCCCCTTTCCCACCAAAGTATTTTCAATAAAGTTCTTAAATTTAAAACTTTCTTTTTGACTTTCTTTTTTGCTGTTCTTTCAAACTCTTTGGGTCACAAGAACAAAATAAACCTTGGGAGAAATATCTTGAGTTTTTATCTAAACATTTTTAATTCAATGACCCAAAGCTTCTTAGAATCTAGTTAATTGACCAAACAAAATGAAAAATAAATTTCCCTTACTAATTCCAGGATTTGTAATAATGATTCACAAGGCCAGCTCTCTCTTGAAAGACTATTACACCCCCCCCACACACACCTTCAAATTTTGATATCAATATTGTTCATTGTATTAGCCTTGCAAGCCATTGAAAGTGAATTCAATTTCAATGAATGGCTTTGTGCCTGAAAAAAACACTCTGGAATATAGAAACAAGGCATATCTTGGATTCCTATCCATATCTATCTAGGTAAGTGGTAATGGTGTCTTCATCTAGCTAATGTCTTACCATTATGTAGGAGGTTTGTCTGACACACCCTGTATTTTGTTAGCATTTAAAATGACCTAGATTTTAATTTCATTTGACCCATAGGCACATGTAGAGTAGCCAGTGATTGATTTTTGAGAGCAACCAATGGGAATCAATCAACAGCCCGAGAGATCTTGCTCTATTGTTAGTAGGTATCCCAACACTAAGCTTACAGTCAATGAAATTCTTAACTAAGCACTAAAAAAGGCATATATTCAACTCGCCGTGTTATTTTATTCAATATCTCCATAAACATAATGCATACCAAATAAAAGCTTATTTCATGAACTTTGTTTCTATCTTATTTATTTTTATATGTACTACAGTGTGCGAGGAACGTTAGTTTGAAAATAGACATTTTGGTGATTTCGCAAAATTTTGGCCATTTTTTTCACTGACAGCAGTTTAGACTTCCTCAAATTTTGTAACATGCGCACTCCATGGTTTATTACAATTTTGGTAACACGTTAGTTTGAATGTTAACATTCTAAGCTTCATTTTCATATTTTTTAATTTTAATAAGTTTGTAAACAATTCAAATGCTTGTAAAAATAAAAACACGGAAAATATATCAATAAAACGCTCATTTAATAATCTATGAAACTATAGCTCCATTTTGCGCGTGTGCGATTATGTGTAACCATGTGCGACTCGTTCAGCCAGCATTTCAACTCCACGTGAGACTCAATACACAGCATGTTTTCTATGGACAAAATTTTCAAGGAAATTGATAATTTGTTTTAAATGTTAATTTTCTATATGTAAATGGGATTTAAAAACCGTTGTCATAAAAAATATGAAACAAAAATCGATTTGTTTACTTTACGCTCAGATTCAAATCACAAAAATATGTAAGACGATCAAAAAATGTTCATATTCAAATGAGATAAAAAAACATTCTACAAAAAAATTCTAGAATGTCTTGTTTTTGCAGTATTCTCAATAATTATCAGCATTTCAGTTACCAAGTAACATTGTTTAAAGTTACCCCATCAATTTTCTTAATTTTTAAATTATCTAATGAATGGATTTTAGTTACAATTTACTGCTATCTAGATACAAATTTGATTTATTCATTTTCCTAATTTTTTTATTATTTCTTAATCATAATCTGTATGAAATAAATATTACTATTTTATTCTAAAATATTTTAATGTGTCAGTTTTTAAGTTCTAAATTTATATTTATCCCTGATTGTATTTAGTGCAATTTTTTTATGAACTGCAAATAAACTCAAATTCGTTAAGAAAATGTAGACAATAATTTGTAGATGACTTCTAAGTATTAAGCTAGTCTCTCAGTCTCTCTCATTGTACATGTTGAGTCAGGACTGTACTTATTCAGCATCTGCTCCATATACATTCTAATCTGGTTTTAGGTCATTTTAACCATGATAAATGGAAAGATATGAAATTTGGTGTTTTTAGTGTAAGAAGTATTCATTTTATGACGATTCAAGCAAGTCTAAAATCGGCCTTTCAAATACCTTGTGGCAAATGGTTAAAAAGCATTTTTTTTTTTTTTTTTTTTAAATTTTGAAGTGGAATAATCCAGAATATATCCATTCTATCACTCCCTCAAAATTAGGCATGTTACTGGTATAATCATGTGATATTTGGGATGAATGTGGGTCTTAGTTCCAGTTTTATGAAATGTCAAACCTCAGGTTATGAGTTTGCACGTCATTGCAGAAGTTTTGATTTATAAAATTTGCATATTCAGACTGAATTTAAGAAATAGGCAGTGATACCATCTGTAATTTTATTAATAATTTCTTTATGTACCTAACAAGCTAGTATAATTTTAACTTGTTCTTAATTGCTTTTTAAAATATAGGAGTCCAAATATGCTATTTTGTGCTAATTCATAATAGACAAAAAAAAAAGTCGAGCACATTTGTAAAAATAAATCTGCCAAAATTAAAACGGTTTGAGATATTTTGATGAAATAAAAACTGCTAAGTTTCTTTAATCATGTAGATTAAGAAGATGCAATCAGATAACACCTAGTACCTGTTTGAAATTTTCATCTGTGATAACTATTGTTAGCACAAAAACCAAGTATAGATGAAAGCTGT